CTGTCTGTTACTCCAGCGGTCTGTCTGTTACTCCAGCGGTCTGTCTGTTACTCCAGCGGTCTGTCTGTTACTCCAGCGGTCTGTCTGTTACTCCAGCGGTCTGTCTGTTACTCCAGCGGTCTGTCTGTTACTCCAGCGGTCTGTCTGTTACTCCAGCGGTCTGTCTGTTACTCCAGCGGTCTGTCTGTTACTCCAGCGGTCTGTCTGTTACTCCAGCGGTCTCTGTCTGTTACTCCAGCGGTCTGTCTGTTACTCCAGCGGTCTCTGTCTGTTACTCCAGCGGTCTCTGTCTGTTACTCCAGCGGTCTGTCTGTTACTCCAGCGGTCTTGTCTGTTACTCCAGCGGTCTGTCTGTTACTCCAGCGGTCTGTCTGTTACTCCAGCGGTCTGTCCCTCAGCTCTGCAAGCCTGAGCTGTCCTACTACCAGGATACCGCTTCGCGAAGCTCTTCACCCTCTCGACGAGGTCGGTCTGTCTGTTACTCCAGCCAGAGCGCTCGCCCTGCGTGTATTGGCATGATCTCCGATACAGCAGGTTGCGAACGCTCTCATCATACTGTAGTACCATGCTTAGAAGCTATTTGAACTATACCAAGAACTTGCTCGCAGCTTCCTCCGGTCCCCTTGCGCTCTCCCTACGCGCCGCGGATGTGCATGCCTCGGGAAGGGGCGGCCTCCTAAACCCTAAACCCTAAACCCTAAACCCTAAACCCTATTATTATTATTATTATTATGTGAGTTTATTAGAATGCTAGAATGTTGCTCGGCCTCGTTGTGGGCTTATGCAATTTGATCCTAGTCTAAAGAGGCGCTCGAGCACTGGGAGTACACGGCCTACAATGCGAACCCTGCTTCTGAGGCGTCTTTCTACTCTCTACTTCTGCTGTCTTCTCTTGGCTTCCTCAGCCTCAGTCAGGAGAGTTGCCTCTCCTCACCTTGGCCTTCGGTCACCACCTACTCTACCTCCATTCAGCTTCCTCAGCCTCAGTCAGAAGAGTTGCCTCTCCTCACCTTGGCCTTCGGTCGCCACCTACTCGTCCTCCATTCAGCTTCCTCAGCTTCAGTCAGGAGAGTTGCCTCTCCTCACCTTGGCCTTCGGTCGCCTCCTACCTTCTCTCCTTACCTTGGGCTCAGCTCAAGCTCGGTACGGGCTCGCCCCGTCTTCTTCCTCGCCCTCGCCTTGCTCTTCCTCCATGTCTTCCTCTTCTTCGTCATCTTCCCTCATCTCCACTCGCAGTCGGTCCTTCTTGTCCACCTTCAGCGAGCAGGCCAGCACATGCATCTCTGCGAATTTACTCAGTGCTATGAACAGGAAGCTAAGAGATCGACGCTCTATGTCGTCGCTCTCCGCCTCCTGCTCAAGCTCAGCAGCTGCCGTTGCCCGTGGCGAGAACGCGCTGCCCCTCCTTGCCTTCTTGCTCTCTCCTTGCACGCGAGTCCAGCGCTTGCTCTGCAGCCACTTCCCCAGCTTCTCCTTGAGCGCGTTGCGTCCCACTCCCTGCTCCTCTGGCATCTTCGCCCACTCTCCCAGCGCCATGAACTCCAGGCTCCCCGGAGAGTAGAACGTGTCGTGGAGGTTGCCAACGGCCTTGTCCAGGACCAGCTTGATCGGCTCGCTCGTCCCTGCCTCGTTCAAAGAAGCTGCATCTTCGATGACTGCTGACAGCTCGCTGACGAGCTGCATGTCCTCTTGGCTTGACGGAGATGCTGCCTCCATTGTGATCCTCTCCAGGTCTGTAAACTCCAGCCACTCTCCCTCGCTCTCCTCCTGTCGCTGCGCTGCGTCGCTGGTGCCCCGCTGACCAGCCGCCTCAGAGTCAGGCTCCTTGTCGAAGCCGACTGCTTCGAGCTTGGTGGCTGCGCCTTCGAGATAGAAGGGCAGCTCCTTCATCATGCGTCGAGCATCCTCCGTGGAGCCGAGGAGGATGCATAGCTTGGACCCGTTCCAGGACTTGGTGTTCAAATCCTCCTCCATGTCGATGCCTTCAACGTTGATCTCGAGCCTGTTAGCGATCTCCAACAAGACTCTCTTGACTCTTGCGATAGACGTGTTGCCGCCGTTGCACAGCCCCTCCATCTCCTTCCTCGTGAAGCGACCAGATGCCGCCGTCGACTTGATGATGATCTTGATCTCCTTGCCGTCCTTGCCGCCTGCCTTCTTCTGCATCCTTGATGCCTTCTTCAACTTATTTCTGGACACAAAGCGATCAGCTGTCAACTCGACTGCGAGCGCCTCTCTGATCTTCGGGTCCTCGCTGAACAGAGTCAGGTGTACTCCCTCCATCGCTTCGCTCTCTCGGAAAGCTCGAAATGCTGTATCATTCGCCTCTGGGCAGCTCGAGGAGACGATCCACTCCACCTCCCTCTGTCTCCAGATGACGTTGGCCCCTACAGCGATGAAGCCTTTCTGACCTAAGCCTTTGTGGACTTGCTGTCCTGGCGCCCCAGCGACCAGCATGCCTGCCAGCGGCTGGAGTTGGACCGCTGCAAGGGACTGGCGCAGCAGCTGATAGCGATAGACGGCAGCTATCTCAGCCGTTGTCATGCCGCCCAAGGTTAGCAGGTGAGTCAGCTCTGCCAAGCTGCCCCCTTTGCCCCAGGGTCCTCTCTTGGCTCGAATCTTGAAAGATCGATCGTGCACGATGCTCACATGTACAGCTGTGAACTTGCGACCATCGATCGCGAAGTCCTCTCTTCCCTGCCAGAGCTTCTCCGCTTGTGCATTGCGGAGGAAGGAAACAGTCACCGGGATCTCCTCAGCACTCGCTATCTCGGGTCTATACGGAGCCTTCCACATGATTGCTTTACTCTCTTGCACTGAGTCTACGATCAGTCCGATCTCTTCGAATTTCTTCTTCAGCTTTTCTTCATGGTTGACATACACCGAGGAGATGCCCAGGAGAGTCATGGAGATGAAGGAAGTCACCTCGTTGCCTGCTGAGGCGGTGTATGTCTCGACCTTCTCCTTCTTGGCTTCTTCAATCTGCTGCATAAACCACTCTCTGGATGCGTCACTCCATCCAGTCATCGCTTCTTGCAGAAACTCACGTCGTGCCTGCTGACATGTCGAGCGGATGGCTTCTGCGATAGCGTCGGGGGTGCATCCCTCCACAGCCTTGCAAGCCTGGGCTGTCCTGCTGTTCGGATAACGCTTCGCGAAGCTCTTCACCCTCTCGACGAGATCAGCTTCGAGGACAGAGGCATCCACAAGTCCGCTCTGCGTGTATTGGCATGATCTCCGATACAGCAGGTTGCGAACATTTTCATCATACTGAAGAACCATACTTAGAAAGCTATTTGAAGTATACAAACCTCTCGCTTGCAGCTTCCTTGGCGCCCTGGCGGCTTCCCCTACACCTGGCAAGGAGCCATGCTGCCGAAAATAACGGCGCCTGCCGAAAATAACGGCGCCTGCCGAAAATAACGGCGCCTGCCGAAAATAACGCCTACTCTATCTCCATTCAGCTTCCTCAGCCTCAGTCAGGAGAGTTGCCTCTCCTCACCTTGGCCTTCGGTCGCCACCTACTCCTCCTCCATTCAGCTTCCTCAGCCTCAGTCAGGAGAGTTGCCTCTCCTCACCTTGGCCTTCGGTCGCCTCCTACCTTCTCTCCTTACCTTGAGCTCAGCTCAAGCTCGGTACGGGCTCGCCCCGTCTTCTTCCTCGCCCTCGCCTTGCTCTTCCTCCATGTCTTCCTCTTCTTCGTCATCTTCCCTCATCTCCACTCGCAGTCGGTCCTTCTTGTCCACCTTCAGCGAGCAGGCCAGCACATGCATCTCTGCGAATTTACTCAGTGCTATGAACAGGAAGCTAAGAGATCGACGCTCTATGTCGTCGCTCTCCGCCTCCTGCTCAAGCTCAGCAGCTGCCGTTGCCCGTGGCGAGAACGCGCTGCCCCTCCTTGCCTTCTTGCTCTCTCCTTGCACGCGAGTCCAGCGCTTGCTCTGCAGCCACTTCCCCAGCTTCTCCTTGAGAACGTTGCGCCCAACTCCCTGCTCCTCTGGCATCTTCGCCCACTCTCCCAGCGACATGAACTCCAGGCTCCCCGGAGAGTAGAAGGTGTCGTGGAGGTTGCCAACGGCCTTGTCCAGGACCAGCTTGATCGGCTCGCTCGTCCCTGCCTCGTTGAAAGAAGCTGCATCTTCGATGACTGCTGACAGCTCGCTGACGAGCTGCATGTCCTCTTGGCTTGACGGAGATGCTGCCTCCATTGTGATCCTCTCCAGGTCTGTAAACTCCAGCCACTCTCCCTCGCTCTCCTCCTGTCGCTGTGCTGCGTCGCTGGTGCCCCGCTGACCAGCCGCCTCAGGCTCCTTGTCGAAGCCGACTGCTTCGAGCTTGGTTGCTGCGCCTTCGAGATAGAAGGGCAGCTCCTTCATCATGCGTCGAGCATCCTCCGTGGAGCCGAGGAGGATGCATAGCTTGGACCCGTTCCAGGACTTGGTGTTCAAATCCTCCTCCATGTCGATGCCTTCAACTTTGATCTCGAGCCTGTTAGCGATCTCCAACAAGACTCTCTTGACTCTTGCGATAGACGTGTTGCCGCCGTTGCACAGCCCCTCCATCTCCTTCCTCGTGAAGCGACCAGATGCCGCCGTCGACTTGATGATGATCTTGATCTCCTTGCCGTCCTTCTTCTGCAGTCTTGATGCCTTCTTCAACTTATTTCTGGACACAAAGCGATCCGCTGTCAACTCGACTGCGAGCGCCTCTCTGATCTTCGGGTCCTCGCTGAACAGAGTCAGGTGTACTCCCTCCATCGCTTCGCTCTCTCGGAAAGCTCGAAATGCTGTATCATTCGCCTCTGGGCAGCTCGAGGAGACGATCCACTCCACCTCCCTCTGTCTCCAGATGACGTTGGCCCCTACAGCGATGAAGCCTTTCTGACCTAAGCCTTTGTGGACTTGCTGTCCTGGCGCCCCAGCGACCAGCATGCCTGCCAGCGGCTGGAGCTGTACCGCTGCCAGGGACTGGCGCAGCAGCTGATAGCGATAGACGGCAGCTATCTCAGCCGTTGTCATGCCGCCCAAGGTTAGCAGGTGAGTCAGCTCTGCCAAGCTGCCCCCTTTGCCCCAGGGTCCTCTCTTGGCTCGAATCTTGAAAGATCGATCGTGCACGATGCTCACATGTACAGCTGTGAACTTGCGACCATCGATCGCGAAGTCCTCTCTTCCCTGCCAGAGCTTCTCCGCTTGTGCATTGCGGAGGAAGGAAACAGTCACCGGGATCTCATCAGCACTCGCTATCTCGGGTCTATACGGAGCCTTCCACATGATTGCTTTACTCTCTTGCACTGAGTCTACGATCAGTCCGATCTCTTCAAATTTCTTCTTCAGCTTTTCTTCATGGTTGACATACACCGAGGAGATGCCCAGGAGAGTCATGGAGATGAAGGAAGTCACCTCGTTGCCTGCTGAGGCGGTGTATGTCTCGACCTTCTCTTTCTTGGCTTCTTCAATCTGCTGCATGAACCACTCTCTGGATGCGTCACTCCATCCAGTCATCGCTTCTTGCAGAAGCTCACGTCGTGCCTGCTGACATGTCGAGCGGATGGCTTCTGCGATAGCGTCGGGGGTGCATCCCTCCACAGCCTTGCAAGCCTGGGCTGTCCTGCTGTTCGGATAACGCTTCGCGAAGCTCTTCACCCTCTCGACGAGATCAGCTTCGAGGACAGAGGCATCCACAAGTCCGCTCTGCGTGTATTGGCATGATCTCCGATACAGCAGGTTGCGAACATTTTCATCATACTGAAGAACCATACTTAGAAAGCTATTTGAAGTATACAAACCTCTCGCTTGCAGCTTCCTTGGCGCCCTGGCGGCTTCCCCTACACCTGACGAGGAGCCATGCTGCCGAAAATAACGGCGCCTGCCGAAAATAACGGCGCCTGCCGAAAATAACGGCGCCTGCCGAAAATAACGGCGCCTGCCGAAAATAACGGCGCCTGCCGGAAATAACGGCGCCTGCCGAAAATAACGGCGCCTCCTAAACCCTAAACCCTCTCTCAACGGGCCCGGTGCTCTGTCAACGGGCCCGGTGCCTCTGTCAACGGGCCCGGTGCCTCTGTCAACGGGCCCGGTCCTAAACCGTAAACCCTAAACCCTTAAACCCTAAACCCTAAACCCTAAACCCGTATATTATTATTATTATAACTAGTTATGTGAGTTTATTAGAATGCTAGAATGTTGCTCGGCCTCGTTGTGGGCTTTTGCAATTTGATCCTAGTCTAAAGAGGCGCGCGAGCACTGGGAGTACACGGCCTACAATGCGAACCCTGCTTCTGAGGTCTCTTTCTACTTTCTACTTCTGCTGTCTTCTCTTGGCTTCCTCAGCCTCAGTCAGGAGAGTTGCCTCTCCTCACCTTGGCCTTCGGTCGCCACCTACTCCTCCTCCATTCAGCTTCCTCAGCCTCAGTCAGGAGAGTTGCCTCTCCTCACCTTGGCCTTCGGTCGCCTCCTACCTCTCCTTACCTTGAGCTCAGCTCAAGCTCGGTACGGGCTCGCCCTGTCTTCTTCCTCGCCCTCGCCTTGCTCTTCCTCCATGTCTTCCTCTTCTTCGTCATCTTCCCTCATCTCCACTCGCAGTCGGTCCTTCTTGTCCACCTTCAGCGAGCAGGCCAGCACATGCATCTCTGCGAATTTACTCAGTGCTATGAACAGGAAGCTAAGAGATCGACGCTCTATGTCGTCGCTCTCCGCCTCCTGCTCAAGCTCAGCAGCTGCCGTTGCCCGTGGCGAGAACGCGCTGCCCCTCCTTGCCTTCTTGCTCTCTCCTTGCACGCGAGTCCAGCGCTTGCTCTGCAGCCACTTCCCCAGCTTCTCCTTGAGAACGTTGCGTCCAACTCCCTGCTCCTCTGGCATCTTCGCCCACTCTCCCAGCGACATGAACTCCAGGCTCCCCGGAGAGTAGAAGGTGTCGTGGAGGTTGCCAACGGCCTTGTCCAGGACCAGCTTGATCGGCTCGCTCGTCCCTGCCTCGTTGAAAGAAGTTGCATCTTCGATGACTGCTGACAGCTCGCTGACGAGCTGCATGTCCTCTTGGCTTGACGGAGATGCTGCCTCCATTGTGATCCTCTCCAGGTCTGTAAACTCCAGCCACTCTCCCTCGCTCTCTTCCTGTCGCTGCGCTGCGTCGCTGGTGCCCCGCTGACCAGCCGCCTCAGGCTCCTTGTCGAAGCCGACTGCTTCGAGCTTGGTGGCTGCGCCTTCGAGATAGAAGGGCAGCTCCTTCATCATGCATCGAGCATCCTCCGTGGAGCCGAGGAGGATGCATAGCTTGGACCCGTTCCAGGACTTGGTGTTCAAATCCTCCTCCATGTCGATGCCTTCAACTTTGATCTCGAGCCTGTTAGCGATCTCCAACAAGACTCTCTTGACTCTTGCGATGGACGTGTTGCCGCCGTTGCACAGCCCCTCCATCTCCTTCCTCGTGAAGCGACCAGATGCCGCCGTCGACTTGATGATGATCTTGATCTCCTTGCCGTCCTTGCCGCCTGCCTTCTTCTGCATCCTTGATGCCTTCTTCAACTTATTTCTGGACACAAAGCGATCCGCTGTCAACTCGACTGCGAGCGCCTCTCTGATCTTCGGGTCCTCGCTGAACAGAGTCAGGTGTACTCCCTCCATCGCTTCGCTCTCTCGGAAAGCTCGAAATGCTGTATCATTCGCCTCTGGGCAGCTCGAGGAGACGATCCACTCCACCTCCCTCTGTCTCCAGATGACGTTGGCCCCTACAGCGATGAAGCCTTTCTGACCTAAGCCTTTGTGGACTTGCTGTCCTGGCGCCCCAGCGACCAGCATGCCTGCCAGCGGCTGGAGTTGGACCGCTGCAAGGGACTGGCGCAGCAGCTGATAGCGATAGACGGCAGCTATCTCAGCCGTTGTCATGCCGCCCAAGGTTAGCAGGTGGGTCAGCTCTGCCAAGCTGCCCCCTTTGCCCCAGGGTCCTCTCTTGGCTCGAATCTTGAAAGATCGATCGTGCACGATGCTCACATGTACAGCTGTGAACTTGCGACCATCGATCGCGAAGTCCTCTCTTCCCTGCCAGAGCTTCTCCGCTTGTGCATTGCGGAGGAAGGAAACAGTCACCGGGATCTCCTCAGCACTCGCTATCTCGGGTCTATACGGAGCCTTCCACATGATTGCTTTACTCTCTTGCACTGAGTCTACGATCAGTCCGATCTCTTCGAATTTCTTCTTCAGCTTTTCTTCATGGTTGACATACACCGAGGAGATGCCCAGGAGAGTCATGGAGATGAAGGAAGTCACCTCGTTGCCTGCTGAGGCGGTGTATGTCTCGACCTTCTCCTTCTTGGCTTCTTCAATCTGCTGCATGAACCACTCTCTGGATGCGTCACTCCATCCAGTCATCGCTTCTTGCAGAAGCTCACGTCGTGCCTGCTGACATGTCGAGCGGATGGCTTCTGCGATATGATAGCGTCGGGGGTGCATCCCTCCACAGCCGCTTGCAAGCCTGGGCTGTCCTGCTGTTCGGATAACGCTTCGCGAAGCTCTTCACCCTCTCGACGAGATCAGCTTCGAGGACAGAGGCATCCACAAGTCCGCTCTGCGTGTATTGGCATGATCTCCGATACAGCAGGTTGCGAACATTTTCATCATACTGAAGAACCATACTTAGAAAGCTATTTGAAGTATACAAACCTCTTGCTTGCAGCTTCCTTGGCGCCCTGGCGGCTTCCCCTACACCTGACGAGGAGCCATGCTGCCGAAAATAACGGCGCCTCCTAAACCCTAAACCCTAAACCCTAAACCCTAAACCCTATTATTATTATTATTATTATTATTATTATTTGAGTTTATTAGACTCTTAGTCAAGAGTTTGATAGCTAAGAACTATTGCTCTTCGCTCATCTCTCGCCTAATGATCCGTCTAAAGGGGTTCCCAACCTTGGGGGGGGGTTGGCCCATTTTCCTATAGGCCCCTTAGGCCTGGTTGCTTCCGTACTAGTTGTTTTCAGTAACGATGTCCTCCGGGCCCGTTCCAATTTCCGATCCCGGTCCCCCTTCTTGTTTTCGCTAACTGCCGTTGCACCTTCCTGCCCCTTCCCCCCCCACATGCAGCGAGTCGCCCACTGTGGCAAGGCTGTCCCTTCTCCTGCTGGCTAGCCCTTCTCTTCTTCCCTTCATGCGGCCCATGACCATGCGCCGCGTCTGCTTCCTTGATGCCCGGCTTGTTTTCCTCCCTTCTTGTGCTCCATGGGTGGCTTGCCCATGAGCCGCGCCTGCCCCCATCGGACTAAATCGACTCTCTTACCCTTCTTGCCGTCCATAGCGTGTGTTGCGCCTCCAGCAGTTGCTTGATTGCTGCTGTCTTGATGCCATCCCATTCCGTGTCTTCCACCCTTAGCATCCTGAAATTCTCATGCCATTCCCTCTCCATGATCGATCCTTTCACCCTAAACCCTAAACCCTAAGGCTGCTGCAGAGCTCCTGTGCTTGCTGCGACAGCAACATACGTCTTCGGGCTCGGCCCCTTGCGACCTATCTGCCCAGCAGCTGCGCGAGCATGCCAGCAAGCGCCGGCCCCGGTTGTACCTCTGCGGCGGCGAGAGATTTGGATCTTGGTTCTAAGTTGAAGACGAATGGTTTCATTTGAGTTCATAATTCTTAGTGCAATGATGGCTTTTTATCAAGCTTTTCAACGATGAGATCTCTGATGGTAATGGAGGAGATATACCGCTCTACTTTCAAATTTCCAACCTCTGATTGTCAGTTTGTGGACTTCTTGAGTGTCCAACAGGCACAACAAAGTCGCCAAAGACATTTGCAATCTGCCACTCATCGTGAAGATACTTCTTCACGAATTGATCAATGTCGTCGTCTTCAATAGAATTGAGAATGATAGTCACCTTATACCACCAATACTTCTGTGAAAATTTGTTGCATTTTACGGCGGAATTCTGGTCTGAATCTGCTCGCCCAGCAAGGCCTTCCAACAAGGCTGCACATTCAGTCTCGCTGAGGCTGTTGATCTTGCGGTTGATAATGTTCCGCAGTGTGAAGAAGGTGATTCCAGTCTTGTTGGACTTGAACAAACTCCTATCAATGGAGAAAAAACTTCCTGCTTTGACCCACCATGCCACCGCACCAATGAGAACAATAAGGCTGGCAATGGGAAAGATCAACTTCTTCGTGTCTGCTTGCGTGCTGTCGTCCAAAACACCATGGTCGCTCAGAGCAGTGTTCTGAGCGACCGCGAGAGCAGTCACGATGACCAGCACGAAGTACTTGTTCATGGTGTAGGACACGAACCTCTGAGTCAAGTCGTCGCAGAACATGAGAAAGAAGAGAATGAAGCCAACGATAGCGGTGACCTGACTGTTGGGAGCTCGGGTGAGCCATCCGATGAAGAATCCATCTATCAGCAACAACAACGATGCTGCTGTGATGCCGCCGAATATGATTTTGGCGCTTCTCTGCACGAGCTCTTTGAGCCTGCCTTTGAGGTCACTGACGGAGAGCACAGCAAGCGTCTCGTTGTCCGAGTCCAGCAACTTAAGATTAAAGTCAGTCAAGTTTGGCTTCAACCCGTTGGACAAGAAGATCACATCCCCGTTGGGCATGATCACGCCCTCATGGGCCTTGTTGGCATACAGGAGCCAGTCTTGAGCGGGAGCCTTGACGTTGCTGATAAGAAACCCCGAGTTTGTAGAGCCATCGAGCATGGAGAGCACGGGATACTCGTCGTATTTCTCTTCCTCGAGGTTGATAAGCACAGCATAGCTCACTAGCGTCAGGATGGTAGCGTAATCACCAGCCAGGTCCAGGAACATCAAGGCAGTGCAGCAAACAAGCCTCAAGATGATGTCTCGATCCCTGCCAAGGTTGCCCTGACACATCTGCCCCAAGCAGTCGATGATGATGGCCTGCTTCATGATGCTGAATATGACTTGTGCGTTGGTGTTGTTGCTCCCGTCGTAGAACCCTGGAGTGGAGCCTAACATGGTCAAGAGGTAAGCGACCCTGACGATCACGCTCACGCTATCTGGAGGATGAGCATCGGACCGACGCTTGCAGTAGACCGGCAAGAGGTCAGGAGCGCAACCGGACATAGCGATCAGCTTGGAGATAGACTTAGGTTGAAGGAGGGACGAGAGGTTGGCGAGGGATGACTGATTGACAATCATACACATCAAATCGATCCAGGAAATGGCTGGTTTGAACTCGAACTGCGACCCCTCGTGTGAAGACGTTGCATGGATATGCGGCCTGATGGTCTCAGTCAGATCGAGCACCATATCTTCGTCATGCTCTCTGACATCAAGATCCTCGAAGCTCTCTAGCGATATCTGATAGAACTTGCTGTGCTCGTCATTGTACACACAAGACCAGATGAAATCCAACAGCATCTGTTTGGAAGAGAACCCGTCCGGACGCAACCTCTCAAGCTCATTGTAAATCTTTTGAAAGCAGTAGATGTTGTCTTTGTCAGTGTCGAATCTGAAGATCACACATCCCTCCTTCTCATACCCGACCTCAAGCGGCAGCTCACGAAACTCCTGTTGAATACCTGTCTTACTGAACTTGACAGGCATGTTGCCTTTGACAATGTTTTCTATTGCCTCAAATGTTTCAAACTCATCTTTACCATGCTCGTCACTCGAACATGATCCCTGCTCTGAGCCTCCGTTGGATCCTCCTGTTTCTGTCCTGCTGCACTCCGTCATCGCTTTGCTTCACGATTCCGCAACACACAAAGCAGAGTTCCTGCACAAGAGCGTGAGTTGTACCAAGTCAGCTACTTGTCTACTCTTTCAATCCGTTGTCTGACACACATACAGAAGCACCATCATTATCATTATCATTATCATTATCATTATCATTCACCTTCTACATCTCCTTCATCACATCTCCTTCATCTCCTTCTCCGTTTACACATCTGCATGTGCATCTACACCAACTATTCCTTTCTACTTCTGCATCTGCATCTGCATCTGCATCTGCATCTGCATTTCCTGTCTACCTCTGCATCTGCATCTGCATCTGCATCTGCATCTGCATCTGCATCTGCATCTGCATCTGCATCTGCATCTGCATCTGCATCTGCATCTGCTTTTCCTTTCTACTTCTGCATCTGCATCTGCATCTGCATCTGCATCTGCATCTGCATCTGCTTTTCCTTTCTACTTCTGCATCTGCATCTGCATCTGCATCTGCATCTGCATCTGCATCTGCTTTTCCTTTCTACTTCTGCATCTGCATCTGCATCTGCATCTGCATCTGCATCTGCATCTGCATCTGCATCTGCATCTGCATCTGCATCTGCATCTGCATCTGCATCTGTTTTTCCTTTCTACATCTGCATCTGCATCTGCATCTGCATCTGCATCTGCTTTTCCTTTCTACATCTACGTCTGCTTCTCACTCTGCATCCACATTGACATGGACTTCTTCCCCTTCAGTTTCATCTTTCTGTTCTCGCACGTAATCTCGTACCCCCCACCCACCCTGTACTGGTGTACCCTTCTATGCCCAGCAGCAGCTGGTCTGAATGAGGGCCCCTCCTCTATATGACAATTTCAAACCCAGGCCGGGTGGGTCCCTTTAAGGCCCGGAGGGTCAGGCTTCAAAAAATGGCCCTACTAGTAGTGCACCTATCGCCTTGCGTACGGTAGCGGCGGTAGTAAACGTTATCACTTAAGTTGAGCAGTGAAATCCGATGATCGCGCTTGTTTTAGTTAAGTTTAGGTACATACAGGGGTTTATTATTGGTCGTTCAAAATTGCGACCGTCTATCACGATGCCCGTCAGGATTCCAAGTTGCCGCCCGGCAGAGATTCGATGCAGCAGTGCCCCATCGGTGGGTCTACGCCTTCACCCTGGGGGTGGAGGTATGTAGTCAAGTTTATGCATGAGTAGTCAAGAAATTGTACAGGATTTAGAGGTCTTTCAGTCAACATTTTGAGTGATATAGTGAAGATTGTGGCTGCCTTTGAAGGAACACGGGTGGTGAAGACGAGGCGTAGGAGCGAGTAGCGCCCCTTCCTCGATATAATTTTATATATCAATATAGCTTGAGTAACATTCGTACCATGTGTATAATTAAAAACTATTTTACAATTAATATATAGTTAATTTGTAAATAACAAGGTACAATAGATGCAATAAATGTGTTTTCTTGACTTCTGTTTGTAATAAACAACACCTGCAACACTTTTTCTATCTATTCTCGACCCATTTATAAATATAGTAATATATTAGTAATTTTGTTTTCATCACCCCCGAACTCCCCTTGCATCACCCACCCATTTCAAGTTATTTCAGTACGACGTCAGTACTACTATGACCACCACCCCCTTTCAAAAACTTAAACTTGAGTAGGCACCTCCAATTGCTACCTCTACCCCAAATATGGAACTGAGTACCCCTTAATTTCCCATCAGTTTGAGCACTCTTTATTTTCAACTACCCCTCCCATGGGAAGGATTGTCCATCCCACCCGTCCACCCCTACTCTTGTGGCACCAGTTCCCCCCCTGCCCGCTGTTCCCCAGACCCGCTACCCCTCTCTGTATCCTGCTCCTCGCTTCACTTTTCTTGTCCCCTCCCTCCTTCATCTCAACCTTCTGCGACTTCTTTCTCTTGTTGCTCGCCTAAAACCTTCCCCCTCTCTTCCCCTCTCCACTCTTCCTTCCCACCCCCTCTCTCCCTTTCCTCGACCCCTTGCCAAAGTTGCACTTCGACTTCTTCTTTACTCACCTGATCGGTATCTTCAATCAGATTCCTCTCTTCTATTCCTAAATCGGTGACATTTGTCTACCATTTCTTTGTCGTTTGATCGTCATTTCGTCTCTCAATCATAATCGGCCCCGTCCGTCGTTTGATAACCACATATACCTGTTCATCGTCAAGATTTTGTTCTTGAACATCTTGGTCGAGTGACATACTGCAACGTATTGTACATGATGAGTGTCAGGGTACTCTTTCATTTCTTCTGCTCATTTGGACTAATGCTTCTGGACCTCCCGGCGTGTAGCAACGCGCTGAGATGGCCTCCGGAGCGGGCTATGAACGCCTTTGTCGCTTCGTTGGGCAAAATAAGCTGCATCCGATCCCCAAGCTCTCTTGCATCATTTTCGTCCAGGAATGTTAAGCAAAAGATGCATGGATTCGCTGCAGCCACTCATCACCAGCGTCCTCGATTTTCACAAACGAGGAATGGCTTGTTCAGTGTCAAATCAGTGTTCAATGGATTTATGGATGAATCGGACTCATGGGATGGTGAGACATGGCACAATACTGTACACGAACACGACATGAATGATTATCGTGTTGTGTTGTTGAGGGATGCGAAAATGGATCGAGTGATCGAATGCTTCATCGACAGGGAGATAGAAGTGGAAGGGAAAAAATATGCAACCTTGATGCCGGCAGATACTCCTGTCATAATAGCTGGGTATTTAGAGGTGGACGGTTCTAGACAGCTTGTACCTGTTCTTGATGATGAAAGGATTGACACTCTATTCCCAACAGCTTCAGCGGTAACGATTTTATCTGGGTTTCACCTAATTTACTGATTTTGTGTCCTTTTCAGGTGTTGGCAGAGATGGATTTAGTGCTATCTCGTTCTGCTGTTGTTCTCACGGTTGATATTTTGAAATTCAAACGTGATTGGTAATTTGAAGTAGGTTGAAGGAAATGCAGAGTTGGAAGAGGAAGACGATGAAGATGAAGACGAAGAGGAAGATGAGGAGGATGGGTACATAAATGCTGATGGCTTTGAATTGGAGACATTGGCAACTGATCATCATAGCTATTATCAGCATCAAGATGGAAAGGAAAATTCTGGGTATTTGATTTTGCTGCTGTTGTCTTCATTGACTGCTTCTGGTGCTGATATCTTATTTTGAGCAGTCCTACGATCGATGGGCACATCAAACTGCGGACCGATGAGTTAATTGACAGCACCTCGCATGAAGAAGAAGGTTCGGACGATGGATTGTCTTCTCAAAAGAAGGAGGACGATGAAAGCGAGAAAGTCCAAGTATTGGCAACATTCTATTACCAGGATGAGAAATACGTCGTTGCTGCGCCATTAGAGCCCGTTCTTATTATCGGATCTCCTGTTGAGCTAGAGCAAGAGGATCCGAAGTCGGATGGAGTGCTAGGAAAGGAGATCGGCTTGTTAGGACTTGGCCTGCATTCATTCGATTGGGCAAAGGATTTTGGTGCGGACTACATTTTGCCTGATCGCGAGGAACTAGAACGTGTGACTCCCAAAATTGAAAAACAGCTTGAAACCATTTGGGATACGGAGGAGAAGGTGATATTGAATTATTTTATCTCAGTTTGACATTTATTATTTTTTGAAGGAGAGGAAAGTCCTGTTGAGACTGCGAGAGAAATTGATCGAACAATGGGGTCGGTCAGAATGAGTGTATTTGTTGCATGCACGGTAGGAATCATGTTTCATAACATTTAGTGAAAGACGGTACTGAAGAGATCAAACAAAACAGCGCACTGAGATGAAGGATTTCTTGTAAAGGATTACAAATCAAAAAAATCTATACTTAGTAAAATTGAACACGGAAGTTCAGAAGATGATGTATTTCGAGAATGTGGGGTCTGAGATGCGCAATTCCCTTTTCATCACCTCATAGGTCATTGCACCCGCTACTGGAAGAATCAGGTTGTCGTCAAGTCCTGCTAATCTGATCAGGCACATATAAATCATGCATTGTCAACCTAGCGGAAACTTTCGAAGTGGAAGAGTGAGGGGCGGAGAAGGAATAAAAACCTCAGCTGCCACAATGATTCGTATCAAAATGGAGTGAAACGAAGAATGCTCACCAAGAGCAGTCGCGGTCCCCATCACCGAAGAAAGTTTCAAGAGCTCTTTCCAGCTTGGCCGCTTGCCTGTGGGATAGGAAGCGCAGCTGAAGACAGAGCGCACATCAAGATGCTTACCTCAACATCAAAAGTGCACCCACCTCAAGGCCCGATACGACGCGAGGGCACAACAGGCAGCACATCCTATGCTCCCCATCAAAGTTTTCCCTTTCGGTGGCCTCATGTGCAACTTTTGCATGAAACGCTTCGAAAGAACGCCACAAACACCCGCAGCTGGATCGCCAACCGTCAACATAAGTATGCCCATCACGCCGTCTTGCCGTTGGAAGCATCCACATGCTGCCATTCCAAGCAGGTAATACGCCATCCCCGAGAAGTGATCTTCAAGCTCGTGGCTTCGCATAAATGCTCCAAAAAGCGAGAGAAAGAAATTTCTCCAGAATTTCGTATTGTGCCGAAGAACTTCTCCAAAGAAACATCCAAAACCAAGGCAAGCGAAAGTAACAGCGAAGACCTTTTCCCCAACCAGTCCGTTGCGAAGCAGCACAAATATATAACCTGTCATAACATGAAAAATTTTCCTGTTTGGGTGCAAGTTGTGGATGTCAGGCACACGAAGGGCATGGTTCGTTTCCCGTGAGTGGGCTTGCCTATTGAATCTTTCCTTGTGGGCATGGGTACGAAAAAGAGAACCGACATGAATCGCTTCGGCTTCCAGTAGTAATTGCTCTGCAACAACGAAGAGAAAGAACAGGAAAACACCAACCCCTCTCATGCTGCCTTCTCTCATTCCCGCTTCAGGCTTGGCATCGTAGTGCGCTGCATGGGTGGCCTCACCACTAGTTTTAGTAATCTAAACTTTTCGAGCCTGCCTCACTGCATACTGTATTCGTTTCTCGTGGCACTCTATGATTGTTAGCTTGGTGCTCGTTGCTCTCTGAGGGCAGCTTGCAGCGCCCATTGGCCGAGAGTATGAGAAGAAGCTAGTGAGGCTAATAATGCATGGGAGCAGCATGATATCCCAGTAGACGTACCAGCACTCAGACAGAGAGGAGATGTGGACAAGAGAGAAATGATTGGGAAAGCGTGTATTGTCGTCCACTGATTTACCTTGTTGCCAGGAAGAAGCTTTGCAATGAAAAGCATGACTGGCTGCATGCTTTTCCTGCTTCTTGTTTTGATCTCGTGTTCGTTGGTGGATCCGTCATCAAGAACAACTTCTCTCGATATTGACATAAAGAGCTTGACAACGCCAAGTAAGAGCGGGGCGGATGAAGGCACCTGTGAGTGTGAAGACGACCTTCCTCCTGGAGCTGGTTTCGCGTTTCGCAGGGAAGGCATTGCCATGATCAATTTAGATGTAGAAAAAGATGTTGGTCAGAGGAAATTCTTCGATAATCAGCGTGTCATTTTCAAAGAGGTTTTGCTGCATGGCGATGGCAAGACATACCCGCAGGTTTTGGTTGCCTGATGTCTGTTGTATGATTAATCAAGCATTTCACTGAACAGATTGGACAGAAAGCTCTATTCAGATACACTGAATTTACATCAAACGAGTGTTTGTCGGACCCTGTAGAAAGTTCAAGTTTGCTTAGAACTGAAGACACGGATGATTCCGTCTCGAATGCGGTCTTCAAATTTCCCTTCTTGTATTTGTTTGGCCGATTTCACTGCCGCTACTCTGTTGTTGTCAACATCAATGGAACCTTGAATATCTCCTCTTTAAGATTCGCTAATTCTCAGCTTAGATGGAAGATTTGGACGTGCTCATTATGAAAATGTCTATGGGCGAGAAGGTTTGCTACCAGCACGTGAAGCTCATGGTTCCTGCTAATGAAAAACGTGCTGGATTATCAGGCGATGTTCTTCGCGTCGTTGGATCTGGGTTGTGCGAGGGTCTTGCAATCGTGGCTGCAATGGTGACCCTCTTTTACTGTAAAAGAAAGGCTCTTAAATCCTACCAGGTGGTTGGAAGCGTCTTGCAGCGAGATGCATGATGCAAGTGCGCGAATCTTTGAGGTAAGACCATGTTCGTGTTAGTGTGCCTTCTGCAAATATTCCCACTCATTTATTCAACTTATTTCTCTCTCTCCATCATTCATTACCCCATAAAATATCACACCAAACACAAGATCATCTCCAATGAGTCTTCTTCGATGTTCGCTTCCGGTACATTCTGAAGTTATGTGCTCATGCAATCTGTAGGTAGAACTCTTGAGATTGGATGGTGGTCCAGCTTCTCCAAAGCCGAGCAAGGTAGAAAGGAAATCCCTCTTCAGCTGGTTTACATAGGAAGAGAATTCAACTCGTGTGTAAATAAATTTGCTTGTGAAGTTACCTGTAATACCTTCTTGCCAAAGGATTAACTAAATCTTCGTCATTGGAGTAATAGGGATTTGAGATGGTCTGAGATTCCCTCAATTGCTGATAGTTGCTTGACGATGTCATCGAAGGAGGGACGCAAGTTGGCGTCGAAATTCATACATGACGAAATGAGACGACTAATGTCAGGAGGGCAACAGAGTTCGGATGGAAGAAGCCGAAGGCCCTCCAACAATATCTATTGCAATTCAGTGAGAAACAAACAGGCGAGTCACTGAGCCTTACCGACTGCATGAGAGCAGAGCTATCTTTTCCTGTGCTTGCGTAAGGAATCTGACAGTGGAATATTTCCCACATCAGAACCCCAAAGCTACAACAAGATCAGACTTCATGCCCGTTGATGATCTTCGAACCTGAAAACGTCGCATCGCTTATCATATTGGCTCTTCTTTCCTTTGAGGTTCCATAGAACTTCAGGGGCCTGCCATCAAAATTCACATGCGAGGATGCTAAGTCCTTGTCGATTTACCATCCACTGAATTGTGCCCAGACCGATTGAAGAAGTCACTTCCTCTGTTGCCATTCCAAAATCGGCGATCTGCGGGTCACTCAGAGTTTAGACTGTCTTCGTTGCACAAGATACCTTGGCGACCATGTTTTTGTCTAGGAATACGTTGAGACTCTTCAAGTCTCGGTGCATCATGGAAGGATGTAGGGAGTGCATGTACTGCAATCCGCGTGCTGACTCTAATGCCAGCCTGTGCGATGTCTCAGGATGAAATCTCCTATGCGATGGCAGCAGCTGCTTGGAGTAAAAGTCGAAGATAGAGCCGTTTTCACAAAGAGTGGTGAGAATTACAACATTTGTTGGATCAATCGTACTGCCGATCAACTCATGACAGTTGTGGTGATGGAGCTTCTGCATGCATGATACCTCCTCCTTGACCTGCTGCAGAAGTGTCTGGTTGATTTGTACGCGAAGGAACTTTGCACATAGAGTGATTCCATTGTAGGTAGCAAGATAAGCAATGCCCTGCCCACCTTCACCAATCTTGCGAACTTTGCAGACCTTACTGACATCCACGTGATCGATTCGACTCACCGTATCAATAGCTGACTGACCTTGTGGAAGCTGAACGATGAAATCTGTCTCCGATCGCTTTCGGGGCAACTTCGGTTTGTACTGAGAAGGAGAAAAAGGTCCCGAGGGCAGAAAGAGGTAATAAAAGAATCGCAGCATTCGAGGAACATCGACTACGTCATCCCCAGCGGTTGAACTTTTGTACTTGAGAGAATCAAATATCTGCTGTGAGTGAGAAGGAATGCCGCCACAGAGTTGCATCAACATCGCTTGTACTTCATCATAGCGGAATCGAAAATTTCTTGTGGCATTGTGGGAAACAAAAAGTTCAAGCATTTGAACAAAGTTCAGTTTGATGGTGCTCGCATTCTTGGAGTTCATGATTAAGTCCTTGTATGATCCATCCCGGCACATTTGGAGGGCAAGAAAGCAAAATCCAAAGAAATCAATCTCACCAATTTTTTGAAGATCAATATAAGACAAGTGATACTGAAGCCTAGAGAAAAATGAAACTTTTAGCTTTTTCCCTGACTGCTGTGTGCTTGAAACGATCTCCTCCAACGACAACATGCCATTTCCATCCTTGTCAAATGACCAAAAATCTTGTGACAGTAGCTCTAGGGTCTTTTGAAGATCATCTCGTGAGAAAGGCTTCCTATCTGGCATGCACTGGTATCTATACTTTCCTTTGAGTCTTGTTGTTCCAGCACCGTCCAAGAGTGTCAGGTAAATGAACAACAGGAATTCGTTGAAGGGAAGCTCTTGCCGAGATGATCCGTAGAAGAGATTGAGGTTGTTTTGAAAGTTTGCTCCAACTGCAAGGCAAGGAAGCTGATTCTTGACGAATGATGCAAGCTCCACCTTGCTCAGCTTTCTGTTCTTGTTGACATCAAATGCCTTGAAAAGGTCTTCCAAAGTCTTGAATGCCATTGCAGAAATTCTTGCATTTCCTTCTATTGTGTAAAAGCATCTGTAAGCCTCTGTGAAATGTTCAAATTCAGCAATTTGAAGAAGAACATAGAGGAATTTACTGGTCGCTCTGTCTAGTTCTGCTTGGGTAGACGCCATCAAGACGAGGTTGAAGGGATCATCACTGCCCCAAACCAGACTAGAATACTGCCAGAGGTGCAGGAAATGAAGAAATTCTCCAAAATCCATGGTGTTCGATTTGTCAACATCGCACTCGCACCATATCTTTTGCAAACATAATTCCTCCTGATTGCTTTGGTTCTAGTCAGTCCCGACAGAGCAAAGTCATATTCAAGATCAGGCCTATGGTACCTGGAAACTTCCAGCGTTCTTTTCAACTCAGGGAAGAAGATTACCTGACAATGGATGATATCAGGTCGACATGGAATGGCCGTAGATCGGACTAAGATAGACAGTACCCCAGCATCGTCTTGGTCAAAGTTATTGAATCGCAACTCGGCGAGTCTGAAAGCCTGAAAGAACAAGCGGCTCAGAACCATTCAATTTGAGGGAGCATGCCTCTGCTTCCATCCTCCTGACTTGCCTCTATCAGCAGCTCCTGGATGCTGTCGTCCCGCGTCTTCGCTTCGTAAGCTGCTGCCATACTGCTTGCGACCGTCGCTTCGTCTGTGGTACTACTGACAGGCCACTGGTAGGAATGATAAGTAAAAGTTTCAATACGAAGTTGACCAACAAGGTTTTAAACTAAAAAGACGCTGACGGTTTCGCTTGCACCTACCCCAACTTAATCGCCGAGCTAGTACTGATCTTTAACTTAACTTTGAGTAATGTTGCTGTCTAGTGAGATGCGCTGCCTCTCCTCCTGCTCCTATCTGTCGGTGGGGCGGACTTGTTATGTGTCACTCAATATACAACCACAGCAAGCAATGATGACTAGCGTAGGACCAGGCAGCGCGACATGGGTGGAAGGGTTGGGAGAGGAAAGGCCGAGCGAACAGAGGGAGGAAGATGCAGGAAACACAGGAGGAGACGTGCGGAGAGGGCGGGGGTTTGTATTTCGATGGTCTCCTTCAGCAGTGAGAGCCGACGTTGTCCTCGGCTTTGTGCGGGATCTGAGAATGGATGGAATGTAAGTTGAAGAGACCAAAGGGACAGATCTCGCATGATCGTTACGCAGATGGAGAGCAGGATTGGGAAAAGACTTGACAGATCTTTGTGCCATATTTACAGAAAGGTTGTGTCTTCCCCCTTGTCATTATAGTGCTGAACGATAACAGGCAACGAGGTGGAATTTTCAAATTGGAACATCTATCCATCACATGTTGTGCTATGAAGGATGAAGAAGCCGTGGCAATCACAAAAGCAGTGCGAGGATTGAGCATCAAATCTGTTCGGTTCTACAACAATCGTTGTCTCTCGTTTGGCATGGACACATGGCTGCTGACCCTGACTTCAGGTATCACTAAAATGGGTGCAGAAGAGATGTCCAAGATTATGATTCAAGATGAGTCCTTGCTGGAAGATTTTGACCTTTCCAAGAATCTCATCGGACCGGTGAAACCACACCTTGTCTGATAGTGCTTCGTTCTATCTCACTCAAATTGCTCCTCAGGATTTCCCCATCGCCCTGGTTCACATCCCGAGGATTAAGGTGAATGAGAGGAATGCGTTCTGAACTGATTGATCGGACAGAAACTCAACGTGGCCTATAACAAGCTTGAAAGGATCTCAGTGAAATTGTTGGATATCCAGGCGATTCGAGATAGAAGGTAACTCTTGTTGTCATGTTTTTGTTTTCTGAAACGTGTCAGCTTGGACATAAAGCTGGAGGCGAATTGGAAGCTGCAAGAACCTCCATTCCAAGTAGCATGCATGGGCTACGACCAAGTGCTGAGGTTCGACCATGCTGTCGGGTGACGGTGACGCGCTGCTTGCAGATGGCTTGAAGACAGTCGAGAGAAGCGGAGGGCACTTGAAACTATCTCGACTGTATTGGGCGAGAAAGCGAGGTCTTAGAGTTAGAATTCAGTGTAGAAGAAGGCGCATTTATCGAAGCAATATGTCTTTTGATGTCTGTAAATACTTGCATTCGCAATCAAAAATCTGTTGCAAAAGGTGCAGACGCGGAAACTGCAAAAAATGAGATGAAGCTTCCGCGATCTGATGCCAATATACCTGAGGTGGCCGGTCGTGGGAGAGACTGCACATCCTTGCTGGTGTCCCACTTTCATGACAGTGTCAGCTAGGGCTGCATACGAGCATGTGCTCACGTTGGCACCAGACAGGTTCGAAGAGGAAGCGTAAGCTTGAACCATCTTCTTCCCTCCCCTCCTCTGTTGCTCCATCGAAGTGTTTGGAAACAGTTTCTTCCCTTCTCTACCACTCTCTTGCGGTTGCTATAAAAACAGAGGTCAACTTCCTGGTTTCAAGCGTAATGGAAGGCCATACCTGAACCACCAGCCCAAACTCTGTCGGCACCTTCAGAAACGCTGGTGTCACGAAGTCTCACAGCAACAAAAAATATTACAATGCGCCCGGGGTGCAGAATCCGTTTTTCACACTCGTGAAAGTGTCTCCTCTACATGGCTAGCATGTCACACTGCTCAGGTGTTGAAGGAGAGTCACCTGCCGAGCAGATACAGGTCGAGAACAAGGAGGATGGTCGATGCAAGTTTGTGACAGGGTTAAGCCCTGTGAAGCCGTGTAACTGTTCTGTGCATTTGCAAGTCAGACGCGAGTCAATGTAAGAGGTCTTGACTCACAGGGGTCTCGACTTTCTTTCTTCTTGACTTGAGCCCTGTGAAGTCCTGCGACATTATCATCAGCATCGCCATGCCCAATCTGAGATCACCACTACAAAACAAAATAAACCTCATCGGATACGCTGCACGGTGCATTGTGATTTCCAATAAAAACTTCGCAAGCTCCAACATTTCGGGACGACGCCTATTGATAGATTGGTCAATGAATCAACGTTCTTGAAAAGATCTCGGCCATGTCATACAGGATTCCACAAGTTCGAGCGAACAGCAGCTGCTTGACCTGCATTCTTTTTCTTGAGAGATTCATCTAGCAAGCAGGTCACTGTTCATGATGAAAATCCATATCAAATCTGACCAATGAATGCGTGAGACGGTAGATCTTCTTTCATTATCGCAGCTCCCATGAGGTGATCAATGGTGTGGAGACTGATGTGACCAGCTCGTTTCTGCCTTGGAGTCGGATGAACATCTCCACCCCCTGCTAGGTCGCTCATGCTCCGAACATTCAGAGTCTTGTCGTCCATGACCTGACACACATGCGAGACATCAGCGAAGTCGATGCTTCATCCAAGTCACAATCAGAGTCTCACAGCTTTTTTGAGTGCTCTGTCTGAGATCTTCTTTCGTACATTTAGCTGACCAAGCTGTCAATCAAAGGATTTGATGTGTTAAAACAGCGCACTTGGTGGTTGTATTCTGCAGGATTCGCTTTGAAATCTTCACTCCTGAGAGGTGACATCCATCTATGTGAAGTGGTGAGGGAAAATCAGCAAGAAACAATGCTTCCAACTTGACATCATGCATTCGTGAGTTGATATGTTCAGCAGGAGTAAATGGCTGATCATGGCCAATAGTGTTGGCAACGTCGTTGACGACACACCTGGACTAGGGAGCAGGTATAAGTGCCCGGTGTACTAGGCATAGCATGGGGTTCAGGTGACGGGCCTTCACCTTGTCTCTTGGTGTTTTACCATAGATGTCTCTTGCACTCGAGTCTCCCTTCCAGAAGGTCGGATTTTCTTCACTCACATGAGACCGCATGGGCGTAAAGTCCAGAGCAGTTCGCACTTTCCGCTCGGGAGAAAAATCGATTGGTGGTCGATTGATAAATTCTGATCGCAGCCCTGCCATCATTTTTCCTCCTCTCCTCGTCTCTTGTTGTCTTTGCTCTCCTCAGGCTTGTCTCCTCTGTCGCCTGACTGTCTTTCCCGCTTGCTCTTCTCGCTCGCTCCGAATAAAACTTTCAACGATCGCTCATTTCAAATTCAAACCCCAATTCCTTTCAGGTCAATTTTTTTTAATTATTATTGTTGTTGTTGTTGTTATTATTATCAGTCAATAAAGAAGGATTTATCGATCGGGCTGCATGTGCAGCAGTGCAGCTTGTAAGTGCAGTGTGGTAGGGGAGGAGGAGGGGAAGAGAAGGAAGGGGCGGGGGCGGGAGCCGAGAGGGAGGGAGAAGGGGGGGCGTTGGAGAGTGAAAGGACTGATGCATCATTGGCAGGTATGGCAGATGAGACTGATATCTGGCTAGCGAACTTGGATGGAGCATTTGAAAACTTCGATCATGAGGATGCAGACGTAACAAGATGCAAAGAAGCTGTACGCGTTCCTCGAATACCATACTCCTCCTTGTCCGCAAGTGAGTTCCACGAGCGATTCTCCAAGACCAATACTCCCATCATCCTCGGAGACGCATGGGACACCATCCCAGCTCACCTGGATCTCAACTACTGGCGGGAGAATCACTCCGACGCTCTTGTACCGCTTGACCTTGGAACAAGCTCAGAGCGACTAGTCAAACTCGGAGATTACATCAAGTTCGAGGACAAGGAAATGAGCAAAGGCTACTGCAGAAGTTTGCACACGCAGGTGAAGCCTCAGGAAATTTCATTCATACTGACACCGAGTTTGCAGGAATGGTTTCCAGCAGAAAATGCGACCATCAAGTTTCCTTCAGTGCTTGGGACGAATCATCTGCTCGAGAGGGGGAAGAGTTACCCCGAAGCCTGGTCGAGATGGTTTGAATTGTTCATCTCCAACCGAGATTCTCCGGGATTTCCCTTCCTGCACAAAGACATGTGCGCCACACACGCACTATCCATGCAGATTCAAGGAATCAAGCGCTTCATTCTCTTCCCTCCCTCCGACACTTGCTTCCTTTACGCGTATGGCAACACACAGACAAGGTCGGCGGTCCCTCATGGTGACATTGTCAACTTCCAAGTGGACCTCAAGCAGTTTCCCCTCTACGCCCATGCGAACATTCACATTGCAGACTTGCGGGCAGGCGACGTTTTCTTCTGCCCCTCCAACTGGTGGCACACAACCACTGTAGTCTCAGCAGAGCCCAGCGTCACACTTGGAGGAAACTACGTGGACGACGCCAACAAGGAAGAGTTCGAGTCCTGCTGGAAAGAATACTGCGATGCCCAGAAACTCGTTGCTGCAGGTGCTCTGGCAATGGTGGTGGGGGAATACCTAACGCGATCACGTGACAGGTATCACAAAGATAGAGCATGGCGGTAAGCGACGTGATCCCTACTCTCAACGATCTTCATGCGCATCTTCCTCCTCCTCCTCTCCACGAGTAAGGCAGACACATTAAATAGGAGCCCCTGTTCATGTGATGCCCGTGTACCAACAATCCCATCGTCCTTTCTCATCGAGTCTGTCCTCGTTCATGGAATTCGCATCCTCATCGCGAACCTCCGTCGGATGTAGAGGCCGAAAGTTTCTTCTTTACATCCTTGACTCGGGCGATGACTTCTTTCTTGCTCCTTGAAGGATGCAAAGAGCAAGGAGGAGATGTCAGTGCGGAGAGGAAGAAGACGAAGAAACCTGGAGGGAATCATCTCGGCTATCTTGTCCCATCTGCCGGTTCGATTAACCAAGTTGTGATTGCAGTACAACCCCTTCACCTGTCGCTGACTGACTTGTCGACTAGTCGCATCGCATTCTCCAGCAGAGCCTGAGCGACAGTCAAGGGGCAGCTTGAATGCATGTGACGAAGCACCTGCTCAGCAGCTGTCCATGCTCTGCCTTCTATTACATTCTGCGTTCATCCGTTGAGCTTCACCATCACAACACATGAGTCATACAGTCGCTTCCATGCTTGATGTCTGCGCTTCCTTGACTTTCTGCAGTGAAAGTCAATCTAGGCGAAATCAAAGAGAAAAACAGTGCAGCCTTGGCATAGTCGTTGATTGATATCTTGGCAGATTGAGAAGAATTGTCAGGCCGAGGCTTTGAGTTGCTGTCAGGGGTCATTGAAGCAGCTGACGGCTTGTTTGACATCACTTTTGCGTTTGCCTGACAAGAATCCCATGAGATCGCAGGGTCAGGCAGTCGAGCTCGCCTGCTTCAGCTCGGCATATCTTGCTATGCAATCTTCTTCCGTCCTCGTGCCAATGAACTTGGCGATGTTTGACCATCTGCAGTAATTCGTAACGGCGGAGCAGCAAGTCCACCTCACCGGTCCATCGACCCCCCGGGAAACTTGGCGACAGCGCGGGTGAGCTCAGCGTCTTCTTCGGGGCTCCAGGGGCCAGAGACCTGGAGGCAGTCAGGACGATCGAGGGAAACTTGTCCTACCTTTGTGATGGCGGATGTTTCCGGGGAAGGCTCAATCTGACTTTTGTTATTCTCGCTCAAAGACTGCGAGGAATGGACAATGAATTTGAGAGATGAAGCCTTGAAGAGCTTACCGATGACACTGCAGAAATGTTTGCAACACCAAGTTGCTTCCAAGAGAATCAACACAAGTGACAAGCATTGCTATGAAACCTTGGATGGTCGCGGAGCAGCCTCTCCTCTCCTCTCTTTCCTTGAAACCTACTGAATGACATGAGCAAGTGGGAATAGAAGTTGCAAGAAGAAAACTATGTGCACAGAAAAGAAACAAAATAAGGATATCCCGACAATGGATGCATATGATCGTACCGTAGGCGTGTCTGCCTTATCTAGAGTTGATGGTTTTTCCTTGGTCCTGAACAATTCGCTAATGTAAACAAACGGCGGCAATTTTTTCCATTTCTTGATTCTTCCCTGCAAAACTTTCAGACTGAAGATCGTGAACATTCGGATTCTCACTTTCATCGACATGTACAAGGGGATGCCAATACTAATCAGTAGGGTAACAAAAACTCCGATGAAAGCATCGGGGGTGTCCTGCAACCGAGGAGGGTTTAGCTCCTTTCTTTCTCTTTCTGCTCACCTTCACGTCTCTAAATCCTTCGTCTCGATAGTACGACGGCATGGGCCCATCATACTCCTCCCCTGCTTCTCCGATCACACCTGACTCACTCTGCATGTCAGCTCACCTGGTTTCGGCCGCCGCTTCCTCCCTCCTTTGACCCAGATCTGAGAATCAACTTCAGGGGATTGCAGCACACCAAACAAGCTGAACATCGTAGCTTTGCCGAGACTTCTCATTGGCTAGCACTTCATAGGCGGATGAAACCTTCAAGAATTTTGCATTTGAAGCTAAGAGTGAAGGTCACGTCTGAAAGAGCAGGGCCGAGAACAAACCAGCTTTCTCTTCATCCGATTTGTCCCCAACCTTATCGGGGTGGTATTGAAGCGAGAGCTTGTGATATGCTCGGCGAATCTCACCGCTTGATTGAAGCACATCAAAAGAGAAGAATTTCACAAAGAATTTCACACGAAACTTACCGGGTAGAATCCGCAGTTACATTCAAGACCTCATAACAGTCTACGAGTGTTCAGGAAAAGCATGCAGGATAGACTAGAAAAGATATATCACCATCGTTCCCGCAAAACTCCATGTCCACCAAATCCTTCCCTGGATTTTACAAACAGATTATCAGAGCGCAAGTTCAGAGCCATGAAAATACCTTCTCTCGCTGCAGAAGACCCCAGGAAAGCAAGCAAAATGGCCAACAGAGCCAGGCATGCTTGACGGCGTTGGTACATCATCACCATCTCATATGGAATACATCATCTCTGTTTGTTCTCTTGTCTCAAAAGCAATCTCTCGCTCTCTCTTCGTCTCTCTCTCTCTCTCTCTCTCTTCTGTCTGCTCTGTTTCTGTTCTGATCACTTGGCCATATCGTCGCACATGCCAATCTCGACCAGAATCCAAAATCAGAACGTTTGGAGTTATTCGAGCACTCTCTGGTACTTAAATGCATCGTTTGGTCTTATTTAAGAACTTTATTTTAATGTTTTACTGAAATCTTGATTAAACTAGAGCAGTCGGGGAGCAGCATGGCAAGTTGGCCAGCATGGTATGACGGAAGTCCATGAGCAAGAGCGAAGGGAGGGAGGGAGGAGAATGAAAGTCGATCAAGAGCGATGGAAGAGAGGGAGGGAGGGAGGGAGGGAGGGAGGGAGGGAGGGAGGAAAATGAAAGTCGATCGTCATAATGCAAAGATGATCCTGATGCTCCTCACAACGCAATCTCATACTCCATCTCTTCTCAGACTTTGCCCCTCCTTGCTCATGCGCTTGTTTTGATAGGATTGTTTTCATCTTCGCCTGCTTGTGCTACTCCAACACGCTCTCGGTCCAACTTTCTCGCTGATTGCATGCTACTTACACAACATCTCTCAACGCAGGGGAAATTTTTGTTCGACGATGTTGTAGCGATACAAAACAATCCTGATGTCGACCCCGAGAGAGACTGGTTGAAAATCTTTGCGAATGATTTCTGGGGAAGACCAATCCTGGACAAGTCAGATCAGAGAAGAAGGAATCAGAGGTGTAAGCGATTTGCAGGTACTCGCATAAGTCCTACCGACCCATCACGACGCTTTCCTTCCGAGCAAATGCATTCGTTTCCTCATGGACTTGTGGACGTTGGAAAGATTTCAAGGATAAGTGTTCTGCAGCGACATGGTGACAAGAGCTGCTGCTACTGCACTACCAGCTAACGACAAGCAGGTCTTTTCACCTACTCAATGTCCTGCTGCACGCGCTGAACTCCGTCCTCCTCCGTTGTCTCCTCCTGCAAACCCTTGGTCAGGCAACTTGGATATCATCGATATTTGACGGATCGAGCAGGGCAGGAGGAGAAGGACGCAACTTTTGCCACAGCGCTATTGTTTGGTGGAGAGATCGTGTAGCAAGCAAAGCTCTGACGTTTCGCGCGTTGTAGCTGCTCATCCCATCCACACAGAAGCAGTAGCAAACATTGTTGGGAGATCCGAAGTTTGATCAGCAGCTGCACTTGACTTCCCGCTCATGCTGCTGCAGCTGCTTGCCGGTCTCTTCTACCTCTCAGCCGTCCTGTGCTACCTGCAAGCGAACAAGAGGATGCGGTGAGAACTGCCGTCATGCCCTGGCCGAGCTAGAACAGCCTTGCAGAACATCTTTGGGGCTACTCTCGCTCGCTCTCCTCTTCTCCGTCGCTTCTTTGTTGTCCAAAGAGCAAGTAAGTCAAAGATGCTGCAGGCGGCTGCTGAGTTGGAGGTGACGATGGAACAGGGAGTCACAGTTCTGTCTCTCTTCCTGCTCTTGGAGTTTTTGCCCAGCTTGAATAGCAAGGGTTGGGGCAGCTCCAGGAGCAGAATGTTGAGAGCAACAATCGTGAGTGTCTTCACGGTCTGCGTCATCTTCCTAAGGCTCCGTCTCAATGTCACTTGCTTGACTTCTCTTGTCTCCTCTCAACCGTCGCAGGTTACGACTCCCTGGTTCCCTCCCGAAGAAAATCCTGCAAGTCTCGAAACGAGTGCACAGGTGAAAGATGAGGAAATCTGAGGCATGAAGATGAGGGAAAGCGTGGGATGAGGAGTAGGAGGAGTAGCAGAGGCTTAAGGATAAGATAGACTTGAGACAGAGCGATCCGAGGGAGGATGAACTTCTAACATGCCTGCAGGTCAAGTTTCTAACATACTCGTACCTCGCAAGCTTCAACTGCTTCCTCCTCCTCCTACCTCTTCGTCTCAATCATGACTACTCTCATGCCTCAATCCCGCTCGTTCGGGATGTGGAAGACCCGCGCAATCTCTTCTCTGCTCTCTTCTACGCGGGCATGGTTGGTTTCTTCCTCTTCGCTTGCTGGCAGTCAGTCCGAGTAAGGATGACAAGTTTAAAGCGCTAAAGGAGATGACGCCCTTTAGGACAAGCGACCAGGCTGGATACTTGCATGGTTCATCTCCGTCTCCACCTTTCTCCCCTGGTCCGTCAACACTATTTTCTCCTCCTCTTGCGTGAATGCCTCCTCCTCCTCCTCCTCCTCCTCCTACTGATACTACTACTGATACTACTACTGATACTACTCCTACTCCTACTCCTACTCCTCCTCTTCCTAGTCCTCCTCCTTCTACTACAACTACTACTACTTCTCCTCCTCCTCCTCCTCCTCCTCCTCCTCCTGCTCCTCCTCCTCCTCCTACTCCTATTCATTTCGCTCGACCTCCTCCTCCTACTCCTTCTCTCACACCAGCACCACCCTCTTCCCCCTTTTCCTCCTCCTCCCTCCTCTATATCCTTGCCATCACCTGAATCTGCTCTTCCAAGTCTGATATTCTTCTCTGTAGCACTTCCACGACACTCTATTGAAAGATCGCGGTGAACGACACGACACGTGGAGAATTGAAAGGCGAACACAGGAGGAAACAAGAAAAGGATAGTGAGTGAGAGGGGAGGAAGGAAAGAGGGGGAAAGGGAGGGAGGAAGAGGATGAGGAGGGAAATGGTGGAGAGACAAGAAGGGCAGGAGAAAGGACATGCGGGAACGAAGAGAGAGGAGGAGGTTGGGAGAGTCTCTTCACATTGTTTGACGCCTCCGTCGAGTTGCCCGTCAGTGAAACATTCTGTAACATCACATTCAGATCAACGAATCTCTACAAGAACACCTCCTTGCCCCTCCTTCCTCTCCCTCCTCTAGTCTCCCCTGCCCCTTGCCTCCACCACCACCACCTCCTGCTCCTGCTCCTGCTCCTGCTCCTGCTCCTGCTCCTGCTCCTGCTCCTGCTCCTGCTCCTGCTCCTGCTCCTGCTCCTGCTCCTGCTCCTGCTCCTGCTCCTGCTCCTGCTCCTGCTCACATTCTCTTCCAGGTCTTCCAGCCATGAGATCTGATCCAACGAGTCACGTCAGGTTTTCTCGCAAGTCAACCACCTTCGCCCTCAGCATCTCCAGCTCAGACTTGATGAGCTCCGTCGTCTTTAGTACTCGTTCTGCCATGCCTGTATTAATTAACGTTGTATTGTTGTTGTTGTTGTTGTTGTTGTTGTTGTTGTTGTTGTTGTTGTTGTTGTTGTTGTTGTTGTTGTTGTTGTTGTTGTT